GCATTTCCAGAGAGCTACAAATGGAATCGGCTAGTTTTGACATTATTTAGGAAGAGGAAGAGAGGATAGTGAGGCTTATTATTTATAGTGCAAAGTCAAGGAAATTGCTTCCCAAACATATGCTTGTTGTTAAGTCTATATACATGTGTTTGAGATTTCTGTAGTTGCCACTTCTTTTTTTTTTTTTTTTTTTTAAGATCAATTTAGCAAGACAGAGCCTAGGACTGGATGGTTCTTGCTCGTTCGCTGCCAAAGTGCTGTCCCGTAGCTCGGCCTGAGTTCCCGTGGAGGTAACCTCAAAACCTGCAGAATCGGGGCTAAAAAGGGCTGGACTGCATGTGTGAGGCTAAGGAACAGAATAGGAAAAGGCAGTGAGGTTTCTGTGGTCAGTCATGTTTATGGTTCGGTACTTTATAACATGAAGTAAAAATTGTATTGCTTTACAGAGAAGCCCCGTTATAGGTCAGCCCTTGCCTTAACCAGCCACATGAAAAGTGGCCCCACTTGCCTCCCAATACAATTTACTCTGACCGTTAGTTAAGGACTCTTTCTGCTGTGTCTGTGGTGGTTGCAGCTCCATATGGCGGTTGCTTAAGGCTGATCTAAGAGTAAACAAGAAGTACAGGGTTTCAGTCACACAAAGGTGTGCGACTCAGTCGATAAAATTAAAGAAGAAATTAACCGAAGGGGGCTACTCTGTCTTTATTTTACACCAAAAATGCCAGGCATCTGAGATTAGGTTTCACTTCTCTTTTTGTCCTTTCTGTTAGTTCATTATCATACCTTTTCCAGTGTAAAACTGTTTTGGGTTTGCTTTTTTTTTTTGGTGATTTTATCGCTTCTTTTCTGAAAATGAAATCACTTCATTATCCTGTACGTTCAGTACTTGTGACAAGGAGATTCTGGCTTTGCCCCAAACTGCTTACAGTCTGGATACTTTTGCAGTGAGGAACGTTTTTGTGAGGATGGAAGAGAATGTCAGGCTAAAGCACCATAAATAATTTATTGTCCTCAGATAATTGTCCTGTGAAAGTTTCCAGTGCTTCCAGTTTCTTCCTAGCCACCCCTATTTTCAGCTATCAGTTATAGAATCTCGACTTAATATTGTTAATTGCATAGTAAACAGAACAATATTGTTTGCCCCAAGACAGATTACCATTTCTCATTACAGAATTCTCATAGACCACAAATCATTGATACCATCTCCACCAGTTATAATAAAGTTTATCTTCAATCTGATAAAAAGCATGTTCTGAATAATAACTGTTGCTCTTATTGTAAGTGGTTTAAAAACATGCTTTTTTAAAAGCTGAGTGGTTCACTGAAGTTACCATTCTGCATTTGCCCTAGCGAAGAGAGGTGAGAGCTGTGGACACAAATGGTCAGGTTGGCAGACGTGCCTCCCTGGGTGCAGCGTGTGCAGTTGCACTTGACAAATGATGAACCTCTCACTGTCGCCACAGTTAACTCAGGCGGTCCCACTTTCCCTGCATTTATCTGTCTTCGTACTTGAACCCATTGTTCAGTGTGTTACGTGTTTGCATCTTTAGCATATTCACAGGGAATTAAAGTGCGTTTAGATGGCTGTACGAAGGTTCATCTCTTCGGTTCAAATTGCAGAGATCCTCAGTGGTCTGAAGGTTTCTGCCTCGGTCCCCAGGAATGAGTTGTTAGACCTGCACCATTGCGAGCACAGACACTAAGTCCTGGCTGAAAACTGCCTGAAGAAACAGTCTCATTTTACTTATCTCCCACCGCTACTTATGCACACTCACAGATGAAGAAGAAATAATTTAGTATGACACAAACCACCAAAATCCATAAAGGGAATACCGTGGCAGAAGTATAGATATTGTAATGCTCTTCAGCTATTTTGCACAAAGTGGAAATCTTCCAGTAGTGCATTTCCAATCTTCCCTGGTGAGCTTAGGTACTCTTTGGGGGTTTAATCTTTTAGCCCTAAATGTATTTATGTCATATATACTAAGATGGAAGCATTTGCATCATTGCATAAGTGTCAGTAAGAACAAGATTGGCCCAAATGTTAGCTGTCACAGCTGAATTTTGTGTTTTACTACCTGTTTCCATTCAGATCAGGCTCAGCCAGCAAGTTCAGCTCTAAATACAAATTTCCTCAAAGCCTAGCTCTGCTCCTGACTTAAGGTAGTGCTCAGTTTGGTGAGAAGTCCTAAAATTTGGACCCAGTTTTAAAGTTTGGGGACTTCATGAGAGAACTGAAAATATTGTGCAAGTCCATCAGGTTTTGGATCGGGGTGTGTGACGTTGTGATTCAATCAGGTTCTAGTGTAATTCTGTGGGGAAACAAGGATTCAGCAGGATTCTTTCAGAGTTGAACCCCAAACTCATTAAAATATTACAATAAAGTAATTAATGCACATGGCCACTAGACACTCTTAAAATGTAAATTTCACAGCTGTAAGAAATTAGATTTGTTTAAAAATAACAGAAGGCTCAAGTACAAATTATGGAGTAAAAGCCTATAAAATTTCAAACTTGGTTTTAAGGCACAGCCTCTTTTTTTTTTTTTTCCTTTTTTTTTTTTTTTTTAACTAGATCATTTACTTTAGCACTAGCATTCAGAAACTGAATTCCTTGTCTGTCTTTTGCCTCTGAAGTTGTAGTCAGGCAGCACTGTGGAACTGATTAGTTGGGAAGTTTCCTCGTCGGAAGGTTGGAGTTAGAGAAGAAGGTGAATTTTGCGATGAGCCTGTGTCCCATCTGAACCCCAGCTTGTGTTCAGGAGGTGCCAGGCTTCAGCTACGGGCATGATATTGTGAAATTCACTGAATGCCAGGCTGAGCTGTTTGCACAGCTGGGAGGACAGGTAGTTCTCAGCTGACACCCACGCAGTAGCAGTTGTTGGGACCACTGCTTTTTCACCGCACGTGCGTTTTGGCTGGGACAAGCATAACTTGACCCGTTTGAGTAATTCCTAGAAGTTAACACCCCCAAATCAATCTGTGCCACAGAGGCTGGGAAAATTAAAGCCACTCCAAAGCTCAGGAGCAATGGAGACAACTGGGTGTTGCAAGGGATGCAACGTACATCTTTTCAGTGCAGAAGCCTAATGCCACATTCTCTGGCACTTTCTCACCCATCTGCGTGTACGAGCATGGGCCTGACTAAAGTGCAAGCAAAGACTTTGACTAACAAACATCCAACAGTGTATCTCAGCCTGTTTACATCTGAAACAGCACTGAAATATGGGGCTCCTCAGTGGCTTCTTGGCACACCAGCTTCAGCAGAGTACTGAAACGGTCGAAGGAAGGAATTCCGGTCAGAATATGTTCCAGATGAATCCTGTTGGAGATCCATTTCTAAATTTATGCTACGTGCTTAACTATTAAAAAGTTCAGATTATGACCCTTCTAATGTTATTTTAATGCTAGTTTTTAAAATGTAATTATAAATCAAATTACATTTGAGATCTGAAGCTGACAGTAGTGAGCTGGAACACTCTAAGAGCTGCTTTAAAAATAACCCCTCTCAAACTTTATTAGTGATTTCAGAAAGGGAAGTGCAAGTGGACTGGCCAGCTTCATCCATGCTGTTTCTGTCTGAGATAGGACGACTTGCGAAGTGTCACTTGTTTTCTGGTTTCCAGAGACACAACACAGGATTTTTTCTCTTCACCTTCAAACTGCATTTCAGAGTTTGGGTTTCTTTCTTTGAGCTTAAGCAGAAAGCATGCACTCCTTTAAGTTGCATTTCCCTCTTTCTTTTCTCATTCTTTACCATAACTAATTTCTCTAAAGAGTAAGATCTCTAAAGACTGAACAGCAACAGAAAAACAAGTTAGTTGAGAAAAGCAGGCCATGATTTGTCAGGTGCAAAATTTTTGGGCAACTCAAGCAATCATAGGAAAGAAACGTGCTTAGTAACTGCAGTCATGTTGGTCAGTGGGATCTGCTTGCTTGGGTGAAGGTATGTATGTATTTGAAGAAAAGGGCTGGCAAAGAAATTGGAAGGACACAGCTGAGAGGATGTAAGCATTCAGCAGGGTTGAAATGTTCTGTAAAAGTCAGGTCTATAATAGTTTTGGTGACTTTGTATTTCTTCTTTTTTATTTTCTTTTTTGTGGATGTAAATGTTGCATCAGATACTCCTGCAACTTGCCTAAAACCAAACTAATCCACCAAGATAGTGCATTAGAAAGTACAGAATTCACATTTCCATTTGTATAGATGTAGTTTAAGGGGAAAGTTAAAAAAAAAAAAAATAAATCACTGAGTCAGTACATCTGAACAAACAACTCATAGTGACTCCTTAGATACATTTTGGAGTTTTTCTTTTCATGTGAACATGCAAAGTATTTATTCAGTGGTTACTTACAGAATTCTTTAGTGAATAATACATTTTAAAAATCTTTTATTTGTAGAGGTTTTTTTGTTTAGATTATTTATAAATTTATAGTCATAGCTGGTTACCTAAATCATGTTATTTCTTCTGTTCCCTGATTGCATGAGTTACATATTTACTTGATTCAATACACAATGTAAATTGCAAGTGTTGCAGCTGAACATACATCTCAGAATTTTTGTTTGGTTGCTCAGTTACATAAATCAGCCAGTTAGAAGAGGGAGGGGACGTACCACATGATCTACTTAAGCAGCTAATACTTTAAAATTTTGAGATTATATATCCAGAAGTATACATTTTGACCATAGTGCGTAGATTATATAAAATGAGTGGTCTTATTGCTATTCCCTGATTAATGGTTGATGCTGTTACATCTATAGAATGAATGTCAAATTCAAACTTCAATTTGAAATTTGAAGTCAATGAATATTTAAGCATTCATTCTCGATGTTGACTGTGAAGACATGCTAATATTGGTACAGCACATATGCTCCAAATTTTGCAGACAGACAAAAACAGAAAGTAGTTATGCGTTCCTAATGCTGTTAACTCAAAATTTTACTTTGAATTACAGTGTTTTATACCGTTTAGTCAGCCGCAGGTTTTACTCTATTTTGCAGATGGGGAAACTGAGGCGAAGAGGTTAAAGGATCTCTCCTGGGCCACGGAGTGTGTTGATGTTGGTGCCCACTCCCTAGACATGTGCACAGACTACTAGACTTCACTGCTCTGGCTGCAGCAGGTAAGGCAGATTGCACAGAATATGCCATCAGTTCTTGAATTGACTTAAATATTTGACTCCCAAATAACTGAATGTAAGATCTCCATTCTGTATGAGTCCCTGAGGATTGTGTGAAACACACTATTCCCTGTTACAGACACAGAAAAAATCATGGGTGCAATGGTGTGTCAACTAATAGCTAAAATGTATCTGTGCATTAAACAAACACCTTTTTCCTGACAGTCATTAAGTAGCTGGTGTGGTGGGCTGAAGGCCTTTTCATTTTTTCACCCTCAAATAATGCTCTTTAAAGAAAGGACACCGAATACCTGTGACTTAAGATGCTTCTTTTTATTGGAAAGAGCGTGGTGGCAGAGGAGAATATGGATGTGAGAGTATGTTTAGACTTTGTTCAGAATTGTGCAGGCTGTGTTTGTACTGCAGTTGCTGCAACTCTTGCAGACGTAGTCATTTAGAGAGTGTCACAGTGCAGTGCCGTTGTAGCACACAGAGTGCTGGCTCTCCAGTTTCTTAGAAAGCTTTTTGGCATCTGGGCTTGGCCAGTTTAAAGCATTCAGAAGTTGCAGTTGCCCCAGGGAGCCCAGTGTAGACATACACAAAAACTTTGCTTCATAACACTGAAAGCAGAGACTTCCTGATCGTGAGTAAGATTTATGTGAGTAAGGATTACCAGATTTCACCCTGTGAGTAGAGAACCTGAGGACAGAGGTCCTAGACTCGAATGGTGAGGACACTGCTGCAACACTGTGAGAAGGTTACTGGGCAGGGAAGTGCTGGAGAAGGTACAGCAGAGGGCTGCAAAGATGATTAGGGGACTAGAACATCTCTCTTATAAGGAAAGGCTGAGGGACTTGGGTCTTTTTAGTCTGGAGAAGAGAAGACTGAGGGGGGATCTGATCAACACCTATAAATACTTCAAGGGTGGGCGTCAAGAGGATGGGGCCAGTCTCTTTTCAGTGGTGCCCAGTGACAGGGCAAGAGGAAATGGGCATAAACTTGAACATAAGAAGTTCCATCTAAACATGAGGAGGAACTTCTTTGCTTTGAGAGTGGCAGAGCACTGGGACAGGCTGCCCAGAGAGGTGGTGGAGTCTCCTTCTCTGGAGACATTCAAACCTGCCTGGACACGTTCCTGTGCAACCTGCTCTGGGTGGACTTTGGTAGGGGGTTGGACTAGGTGATCTCCAGAGGTCCCTTCCAACCCCATACCACTCTGTGATTCTGTGATACTGCATCGCTTGGATCCTGTCACTTGTTCTCATGATGTGAACTGCCTTTCTCATAGGGGTAAGGGTAACACAATTTACCCATGAATTTGTCTGGATTCATTTAGGAAGTGTCATCAAAGCTGTGTTGCAGATCTCTATGTGGTGCAGGAGTCACACCAGGGGGTAGAGTCAAAATCTCTCTGTGTGTTGACAGACTGCTTGCTTTTCTTCCCACACACATGGAGTCAAGGATGGAGAATTTGCAGACCAGTAGAGAGTGAAAAGATTGTTGCCTTTGAAGAGTTTCTTTTCTGCCCCTTACCCTGGTCGGGTACAAACTTCTGCACTAGGTGGTAGTTCTGTGCGCCGAAGGAGGTATGAGCTCATACAGGTTGTCAGGCTGTAGGTGCCTCAGTGGAAATTCTCACCAGAACTTCTCTTGGAAGAAACTGGTGGATGGCAACCACGGTCCTAATGTCTACTCTGGTGAGGAGACAAATTTGTTTCCCAAGGCAGGCCCTTAAGCAGCAGGTTGCAAGGTCCCAGAAATAAGGTGGGACTCAATAAGATCTGATGATAGCTGTCCAGTAAGTGCGTAGATGAAATAAAGAATGATGACCTCTAATATTCATGTTATTTCTGGATAGTTCCCAGATGAGTTAAGTTAATAAAGCTGTAGCCTAGTTGCACTATATTTCTCAAGTATTATCTTCCTACAGTTTGGGAGAATGCAACCCAAACGCTGCTACCACTCTGTAGTCACGCAGTTTGGCCACGTTGATGTGAAAGGAGTGACTGAAGTGAATGAGGTTTATTTTGGAGACGTGTTTCAGCAGAGTGCATAAATGCTCAGAAGAATGGTCTTGAGGCTGCAGTGGGGTTATTCAAATGCTCGTAGTTAAGTGTGTGCTGAAGTACTTTACTGTATATAAGGTTCTTCAGTTTTTCCTGTATGATGTAAACTGATTTCATAAAAGCATAATGTATTATTGCTTTTGGAAGAATGTAAAGTCTAGCTATGCACTGAGTAGTTAAGTAGGTTCCTTATTTGCTTTGTTTAAATTCTTAAATTTGCAATTCTACATTTAAGAATATATTTTTTTTGCCCTTTATGTGGTTTTCCCTTCTCTCAGTGATCAGGGAAAAGAATGTCTAGAATTTCAGAATTATTATTCTCTCGTATCGGGGTAAGGATTCACGCGAAGTCAGTCTGCCATGTGTGTGCTCTCCCTCCTTTGGTATGCAATCTACAGTCTATATTTAACTCTGTACATACACAGTGCAAAGAATCACAGCATAGCAGCTGTTTGGTGGTGACAACGTAGGTATACAGTCACAAAAGAACTTAAGATAATTGCTTAAATGATATCTTCTGCGAAACGCTAATCTCCCTGGGAAGGGTCCCCCTTGCAACAGGCGACATGAGCTTTTTTTATGTTCTGTGTTTTCTGCTGCCATGCACTTAATTCTGTTCGAACCGTATCAAGGAGACTTGAGAAAAAAAAAAATCAACCATTAAAGACTTGCTCTTTGTTTTTTCAATCTGTGACCCCAGCAATCTCTTTAGCAAGCCATGGTTCAGTAAACTGGCACACAGCAGTAGTTCTACAGTGGAAAAATCATAAAACAGATGGAAGCTTTACATTTTTGTTTAGTTTTTAAGAGCAGTTTTTATAACATCGCTTAAAATCATTCTGATGCATCATACTGTTTACGCTTAAAGCTTTGTAGCTAAGATGTTTACACTATAGAGAATGTTTTAAGATATTTTATAGTTATGATATTTAGATAATTGGCAAGAAAAAAGATAGTTTGTTGAGATTACAGTGATGTTGGTAACCGTGAAGTAACTTATGAGTCTCAATAAATATGTCCAGTTCGGTGGAAAGTACAAACTCAGTTAAAACAAAACAACACAAGAGGGAATATCTTTTTAGTGAAATCATTTCCTTTTCTTAATCAAAAGATGACAGCCACAGCCTTAGAACTCCCATCTGTAATGCACCACTCCACGTATCTGCGTACATGGCTTTTCTTTTTATGATTGATACAGTTATATCAAATCAGTCAATTAATATTCTGCGTAAGTTCAGTCAAATTATATACAAAAGTTAATAATGTTCACTTTTCATGCAAAAGTTGAAATGATCTAAAGTGAATCCCGCTCATTTTCTCTTAATACTCCATTTTCAAGATAAATACATTTATATGTTTTCATGTAGTAGAATGTTTTCAGAGCATAGTTTTGGAACATTTTTAAAAAATGTCCCCAAAAATGCATTAATCAAAAACAATAACTCCTTTTAACTTTTGTAACTGCTCAGAAGTAAAGTATGAAATAGTCTGTGTGTGGGCCACAAATGTTGGGAATGCAAACATTTCACAATAAACATGTTTAAATGAAAGTACTTGGCTAGATATACTGGAAGATAGTACATGTTGGGTTAATTAATGCATACTCCATAAAAATAAACCTCACTTTCAAGATCTGACCAATAAAAATCATTAGTATATTTGGATCAGATGTGCTGATGGATGATTTTTATGTATACATTAAAGTTTTGTAAAGCGAATTGTCCTTGAAAAACCTAGAAACAGATTTCAATTTAAAGTCAAAACGACCCATTACATCTACTCTTTGTGTTTTCCTATAGCGATATGATGAATTATTTCAGTTTTATCTTCTATACCTGCAATTGATTTACTATTGATGGGTTTAAATTTATCATTTTAAATGTGCGAATCACAGCTACATAGCTAGAAACTGTTCACTTTCATGGAAATTGTTTGCCTGTAGAATGCAGTATCTGATTCTAGGCATAATCAAATTACCATACCACATTATTTTTCTTCAAAAAAAACTTCCACATCTTAAATTGAATCATTTTAGTACATGCATAAAATAATATTTTACATTAAAAATCGTATCATAGTCTTAGGAAAATCATACGTATAAACAAATATGTGATCTGGCTTTCCCTTGTATCGTGCGGTTGTGCCAGTCAGAAATAGTGAAGCAAACTGTGATTGTCTTTCATGTTGAATAGTGTCTTTCTCCGAATCGGGTCTCATTACAGTCAAGGTAGTGATCAGTATTTGACAGATGTCAGAATCCAACCTGGCTAATTTACTAAATTTGTGGTTGCTTTGTAGGAAAGCCCCACTCTGCACCCTCAGTGTAGGAGTCTCTATTTGTATGAGCAGAATGAAGTAGAATTGACCTAGGCTGTTTTCAAAAAACCAAGATGGGCATATTTCACTTTTTGGGCCCATATCTGTAAAATATGCAAAATTAGATGTTTGATAGGTCAAGCCTCAAACCCAAGCATAACATAAACAGGACAAAAATCTAATTCACAGTTAAAATAGAAGTGAAACCCTTCCCTTATGATTACCATCAGCAAAATTTTTATAAATTTTCGCAGCAGCAATAGGATAAGAGCATCTGTGCAAAAGAATCTTCATCTCTCTAGTCATACTGACTTCATTAAAGATCAGAGACCTGATATTGTAATTTTATCGTGTCTTTTCACAAAGTCACTATTCTCACACAGGAGAAGAAAGCACCTTTTCTCAAAAGCCTTCATAGAATGTTATCCCAATCCTGTACTGTATAAAGTTTTTGTTGTTCTGCACTTTAGCTCATCCACTGCTTACTGAGTTTCTGGTGAGCATTGTAGGGGATGTGGGGGTGAGGGTGATGATCCTCTGTTCACATTGGGGAGGTACTGAGTTTCTGGTGAGCATTGTAGGGGATGTGGGGGTGAGGGTGACGATCCTCTGTTCACATTGTGAGGAAAGTGGGTTGCACAGAAGGTGGCTGCAGAAGTAGAAGTCAAGACTGATGAAGCAAATGGAGGGAGTGGAAATGTCTGTCTGATGAGCAGATAAGTAAGGAAGGGACCTGGGAATGTGCTCGCAGACAAAGACAAGAAAGCTTGAATGTGGCACAGCTGAAGAGAGAAGAACTGGTAAGAGACGGGGGTTGACAAGTTTCTGGTATTGACAGGAAACATGATCTGCACAGCTGTATCTGTGACTAACTTAAAACTGGCAGGACATTCTTTCGATGATTACATCTATCAAACTCCTCTTTAAAGAAAGAATAAATATTTTACCAAAACAGAGAGAGGAAAAAAAAAAGGCTTAAAGCTGTTTTAATAAACTATTAGAAAACTATTTTGAAAGCAGCGGCTTAGAAGGCAGTGACTTCTCATGCCTAGAAACTCAGTTCTAGGAAGAGAGCCACTGGTAACGGAGGCAAATAGTAGGCAGGAGGCTGCAGCTTGTACTTTAGATACTTGCAAGATAACCTCTAGGTAGACTATGTGCTTCTAATTCACATCTAATTAATAGGGCATCAAGGAAAAAGGCATCTCCCAGTCAGATTACGGGAGCAAAAGACACATTGCATGAATCTTGGAACTGCTTGGTTTTATGCAGCATTGTTTGTAGCCCTGGCTGTGCTGGAGCATCGCTCTGGCTGCAGTGGGCCTGGCTATCCCAGACAAAGTTTAAATGCTTTAACTGGGGTACCCCTGACAAATGTGGTGTCCTGGAAGCAAATGTGGTGTCCTGGAAGTCAGTGTGTGATCCTGGCTGTGCTGGAGCATCGCTCTGGCTGCGATGGACCTGGCTATCCCAGACAAAGTTTAAACGGGTTAACTGGGGTACTCCTGACAAATGTGGTGTCCTGGAGGTCAGCGTGTGACGTTTATCCTGCTGAGATCCACTGTGCTCTACGGCGTTGCTACAAGTGCCTTAGCTGGCCTCTTACTTCAAAGGGGTTGGGATGCTCTTGGTGGAAAGTCTAGAGTTAGAAGCAATCGTGAAGTCTCAGTTGGCGCAGATTAGTCCCAGGATTTAGGACTAGCAAAGTGACTTAAGCACTAAATCCCTGCCTTTCCCCTCTAGCCTTGTTCCAAGCTTAGCTGATTACAGGACCAAACTTAGAGATTTCCAGCTAATGAAGATGATACGCAAGGAAGCGGTTTGTGTAGCTTGATTTGTATTGACGAAATGAACGGTGTGTGTTTTATTTTTGAAGAAGAATTGCCTGTCGTCATTCTCACTGCTAATATTGCCATTACAAACTAAAGAGACAAAGTTTTACAACCTTCAAGGATGGGGTTATTAGTGGTAGCAGCACAACCAAGGGGTTGCTAGGCCAAAAGAAAGACTTAAGTTCCAGGAAAGTAGTGCTAATTGCTACTGCTCCCCTGTCATTGAACTGGATGCTTACGAGGGTGGAGCAGTACAAAAAGAGATCATGCAAGAAAAAAAAATTAAAATCTTGATTTTTCTGAGACTTGCTTGCCCTGAAAAGTGCCATCACTTACGGAGGGCGTTCTCCGAGCCCTGCAGCAGTGAAGGAGAACAGAGCCCCCAAAGGACTGGGGGCTCTGAAGGAAAGTTACTCCCCGGTGGGGAGGAGGGGGTGATCATGCAGGGTCCGGACCCCCCTGCCCCGGGAGCAGCAGGTTCCCGGGGGGGAGGCTTTCCCTCCCCTCCCCTCCCGTTGAGGGCCGTTCAGCAGAGCCCGGCACCGGCACCCGAACGCTCGGGTCCGCACACGGAAGGAAGGA